CCGGATGCCATATTCCCGTAAGAAATGGCGAAGTCTATGTATTCAAAATCATAGCATTAAGTCTAAGGGAGTTCATTCCTTTAGCACAACGTCACGTGCGGAACGGACTTAAACAATCCGCATGCAAGCCCGATTCAAACGGTAATCGGTAAAGGCACGCCAAATCCGTTGAAGGCTGAGGGTTTGCCAAAAACCTTAAAGTCTACGTCTGATACACGTCGCTGTTTAGTCTTTTCACAGGAGAAAGACGAAGTCTACGTATTCAATATCGTAGCACTAAAAGAGTTAACTCTTTTAGCATAACGTTACATGCGGAACGGACTTAAACAATCTGCATGCTAGCCCGATTCAAACGGTAGTCGGTAAAGGCTTATCAAACCCGTTGATGGCTGAGAATTTGCCAAAAATTCTATAAATGTGAGTCATTGACGTATCAGCTTTATTAGTTGGTCTCGTGACTTGAGCACCTAACGACTTTGGGATAAGATCCATATCTGCAGAAGAAACAACTTTAATAGTTGGTCCTGCAGCCTAAAATTTAGGACCGCCACGCTCCAACACCTTAAGAGCTTAAACTGTGTAGACTCCAGAAACGTACGAGTATAAACTGTGTTAACGCCGGTCAACGCGTTATAGTAAAGATCGATGCCGGTCAACCCATCAACAATCTCGTCAAACTAAGGCAAATGATGATTTTAGGGAGTTCAATCGGATTCAGATATGAATTTCTGACGAAGATGATCAGTTCAAAGTTAACTCAATAACACGAGCTAAGTTCAGAAACTTACACACCAATCTCAGTTCAAGATTTCGACAACGGTCAGACGATAAACGCAGCGCCGGAAGAACTTCATCTATTCGACGAAACAATGAATAGATTGAAGGCTGAAAAAATTAAGAATTGAGGTAGTTCAAGGTCACTCTACGAAATTACAGAGATGGCCTATCTTATCCAAAGTATTCCAGACTCCTCTATAAAAGAATGAGTCTGAAATACTTTGGAGGGGGTATCTGTAGGCATCTAAAAATACCTATGGGTGTCTGCACATAGCTCGAGATGGAGAGAAAATAATGAACGTCGTTATCTGAGTCTAAGAGGATTATCTGTCGTTGACAAGTGCATGAAGCGAAACGACGAACCAAGTGGCACGCGTGCATCAATCAACACGTGCGCGTTAATCAGTTTGCGAGCGTCAATCAACACGCGTGCATCAATCAACGTGTGCATGTCAATCAGTTCGCGCGTCAATCAGTTCGTGCGCGTCGGTTAACACGCGTGCATCAATCAACACGCGCGTATATCAACCAACGCGCGTTCGACAGTCAATCCCGCAACGAAGTGTGCAAGTCAACAAGACGGTCAAATATGCAAAACAGTGGAAAATACAAGTCCCGGAAGAACCGAAAAACACAAAAATCAGCGAAGCCAAAAGCGCGCCGCGCAGTACGGACCAAACCGACCCGCGCAAGCGCGAGTCAGATTTGTCTTGCGCACGCTGTTTCGATCCGGTTCGGTTTTTGATGGTTTTTCTCGGGATTTGGTCATTCCTGAGCATCCAAACTGATCTGATATTATCCCCTAACATGGTTAATCAGTTATTAACTGAAGATAAGGATGAATCATTCATTCTCATCCAAATAACCGCTTCCGAAGCTTATAAATACGAGCTCGGGTGCTCATTTCTCAGGGGGGGTTAATTATCAAGAGGAGGAGGTGCTGCCGGATTGAGGAGTCAAAGGAGCACGAATTTCAGCGAGGGTTGACAGATCTTGGCGTGTTCTTCAGCATAAAGAATGAGAGTTCAAGAGATCCGACGCCTGTTCCCATCCATTCCTCGAGATTAGGCTTGGTCTTAATCTCGAGAAGAGTTCTGATTTCGCTTGGTCGATCTCAGCGCTTCAAATCAAACACTACCTCGGTGAAGGTGAAGCTCTGCCGAATTTTTCATTAATCGGATCCAGATCGTCGATCGTCCACGGATAAACCCCGACTCAGGCAAAGATCCCACGCAAGTAGAAGACCGATAAATGATCTCTGCGTTTGTTTGATAAAGTTGTAAACTTTTTTTATTTTCATTGTGTAAGGAGATCTTATAAAAAGATTAATTTTTTTATTTTATTCGAGTTTATTGTAACGACTAAAGTTATAATAGATTCGATAGCAATGAAAACAACAACTTTCGACGCAGACAGAAGGAATAGACTTCTTTGATATTTATGCACCAGTTTGCAGGATCACTACCATCAGAGTGCTTATCATATGGGCGGCGATTAAAAGGTTCGTCATACATCAGATGGATGTGAAGACTGCCTTTCTCAATGGAGATCTCACAGAAGAGATCTACATGGAGAAAGCAGAAGGACTTGATTCTCCAGCTGGTAAGGTTTGTAAACTTGTTAAGTCATTATATGGACTTAAACATGCACCAAAACTCTGGCATGAGAAGTTCGATGGAGTTGTTCGCAACAATGGGTATCAAGTCAGTGAATCTGACAAGTGCCTGTACATCAAGGTCTCTGAAGGAAAGGTGGTGATCATCTGCCTCTATGTGGATGATATGCTTATCATCGGGAGTGATTTGGAGATAGTAATATCTACCAAGAAATTTCTTTCAGCACAGTTCAGCATGAAGGACCTTGGAACTACGGACATGATTCTCGGAATCAAAATCATATACTCTGAAGAGGGTATTGGATTGTCTCAATCTCACTATGTCGAGAGCATGCTAAGAAAGTATAGCTACTACGACATGTCAGAACTGTCAGTGCCGTATGATTACAACAAGAAACTTCGACCAAACACTGGAAAACCAGTAGATCAGCTAAGGTACTCAAAGATCATTGGGAGTCTTATGTACGCGATGAGCTGCACAAGGCCAGATATAGCATTCGTTGTAGGAATGCTTAGTAGGTTCACAAGTAATCCTGAAAAGCTTCATTGGGATGCTGTCCAGAGATTGATGAGATGCTTGAAAGGAACTACAGGTCTGGGGCTATTCTACACTGGATATCCGGATGTAATCGAAGGCTATTCAGATGCGAGCTGGTGCTCAGAACCAGATGAGTGCAGATCTACTGGAGGTAAGGCTATTCAGATGCGAGCTGGTGCTCAGAACCAGATGAGTGCAGATCTACTGGAGGTTTTGTCTTCATCATGGATGGAGCTGCCGTCTCGTGGAAGTCTAAGAAGCAGACCATGATTGCACAGTCATCGATGGAATCTGAATTCTTTGCACTCTGTGTTGCAGGAGATGAAACTGAGTGGCTCAGTTGTATTCTCCGAGACCTTCCATTAACGGAATTGCAATGTGCAATTACTATCTATTGTGATAATCAGGCGGCGAGTGTTGTGGTAGCAAACTCGATGTTCAATGGAAAGAAGCGGACCATTCGTCTGAAGCATGGCTATTTGAGAGAGCTCATTTGTCAAGGAGTCATCTCTGTGATTGACGTCCGATCTTCAGAGAATGTGGCTGATCCTTTAACTAATGATCTAAAAAAGGACATAGTCGAAAGGACGTCTGCTGGAATGGGTCTTAAATTTTTGTAAGTCTTACAAATACTTACCATGTTTATTAAATTATTAGTTCAAAGCTTATACTACTAATAATAAGATAATTGGTTCAAAAGTCAAGTAAGATTTGCAATATTTTACAAATACTTATCATTTACATCTAGTTATTAGTTCAAAGCTTATGCTACTAATGACAAGATAAATGGTTCAAAAGTCAAGTAAGATTTACAAGTGAAAGGGTTCAAGTTTTTTTGGATTAGTCGGTGTCTAAGGCAATGTTTGGGAGTTGCGTAACGCGCTCCGCAAGGAACGAGGTACTTAATTGATCTTTAATCAACCTCTAATACCATCCTTACCTGGTGAACTACCCGAGTAAAACTTTGATCTTTTCACCTAGAATCCTATCATGTAAAGGGGATGACTGTTAAGCCTTAATGAGTCCAAAGCATTTTGGATGCGGGGTGTTAGATAGGAAACACACCTAAATGACTCACCTAGAATCCTATCATGAGAGAGGATGACTCTTAAGCCTTAATGAGTTCAAAGCATTTAGGATGCGGGATGTTCGATAAGAAACATGCCTAAAGAACTCACCTATGCATGGGTAGAGATTTGGCCGTCTCCTATGATGTTTTTGTGGAAAGATACCTAGAGCAAGGTAAAAGCAAAGGCAAGTGTGGTTCAAAGTGAAAACTACCACATATAAGTTTGATCTTGTATGATCGCTGGATTTTTAGACATGTGCTGGTTCAAGTCTTTGTGACACCATGTACCTATCTTTTATTCAGTTGGTCTAAGGGGGATTCAAGTCCTTGCAACGTCTACCTTATGCACAACGATTGAAACGACGGCACCGTTACACGACACCAGTTTTTAAAAAACTTGTGGGGGATTGTTAGATAATTTTTTTAAAAAGATGGGTCCCACGCTAATATGTGTTCAATGGAAAACGTGGGAGAAACTTTCTTAGTTGGGCGGTGCCAAATTTTAGGCAGCCAAACTTTGGTTGAAATTTTTAGGACGTGAGCCTCACTACATAGTAAAATAATAATATTTTATTAGTGCATAGTGTTTTCCCAAACGCTATAAATAGACCTCAAATTCTTAAGGAAAATTTATTCCAAAAACAACAATCAATATATACATATATAGATTGTAAAATAGTTGTTGCTTATAGGAATTTTGCATGATAGATCGAGGAGATCTTTTGCCTGATAGATCGAGGAGATCTTTGCCTGATAGATCGAGGAGATCTTTGCCTTATAGACCGAGGAGATCTTGACAGTACTAGGTCGGTGCACACCAGAGTACTGGACTGCTGTTCCTGGAAGCAATTTGGCCTTGGGATCCTTGCACCGGAGTAGGCCAAATAATGCTTTAAGCACAGCGTTTTACAAACGCACAACAGCTGAGTTAGAAAATTTTAAATTACTGCACTTTAGTTTTCTATTCAAATTTTGCTGTTATATATCTCCTCTCGTGAAATCCGACATCTTGCGATGATCTAATATGTTACTGTCTTCTGACAGTCCCTAGACACAGACGATCATGTCAGAACGTAGGATACAAGTATTTAGATATAAAGTAACCTGCTCCATTCCAAAATTCAGCATCCTGGCAACTCTGATTTTAAATTTTCAATCCTCTTTGCTTGCTGATTTTAGATCATCGACCTAAGATCGTTCTCAACCTCCACTTACTATAAGAAGTAGCCGAAGTGATCATCCTGCTGCACAGAACCCATCGGTAAGATATTTATGATGTACATATGTGTACATTTGTTTGGCATGCTTTTAATTGACTATGAAATATTTTACCTTGCGGTCGCTATGACTTCAACTGCATTTGGTCATTAGCAAGGAGCAAAGCATTTCTTTTAAAGCGGAAATGTTGTAGAGCCCAACTTTCTGTCGTATAAAATCTTCTATCACGTATCATGGTACAATCCTGTCCACCATCTCAAACGTACTCTATTAAGAGCCACATCAGATCCTATGCATCACTAGACCCTTTTTTTTTCCTTTTCATCTGCTGATGATTCGTCTGTTCTTTATAAACAGTGTCTTTGCATTTGTCTTTTAAGCCAAAATTTGCCTCAATTCACAGTCCAGGTCAGAGATTGCTAAATTTGACCCATTATTCTTGTCGGTCGCCAAGGTAGATAACTCAATGTTTCCATACCAATCGAGCAGGGGGTGTAAACTCATCCAATCCAATTCAATCAAAATAAAGACGCACAAGTCTCTTAAGTTCATTTTTTTTCATGACCCCTTTATCAACCATGCTGAAGCTCAAATCATCTGTTGTGAAAAAAAAGGAAAAAAGAAAAAAAAAATCTCCCCAACATCTATGGTACATATTCTCTCCATTTCACTTATTGATGCTTCGTTCCATTTGCTGTCAAGTTTGTCTTTCAGGTTTTCCTTTTAAGTCGAAATTTGCCTCAATGTGGACTATCAACAACTGTTGCACTTGATGGCTATCCTTGAGGTTACAAGTCTAAATAATTCTATCTCATCCTGAATCATCTATGCCAAATGTGTTGGAGATGAAAACTCATCCAATTCAATCAAGCTACAGCCAGGTAGCTTACCTACATTCAATCTCTTCATCAAACCCCTAATTTTATCAGCCTCCTCATACCTGCCTACATCCGAATACATGTTAGCCAAGATCGTATAGTAACCACTCTTATCCGGCCTCATCGCCATCAATTTCCGTGCAACTCTATCACCTACATCAATATTGCCATGCACACGACATCCTGATAGTAAAGCTCCCAAAATGGCCTCATCGGGCTCCATAGGCATCTTCCCCAGAAATTCCTCTGCCTCCACAATTTGCCCAGACCTCCCCAAAGCATCGACAATACAAGCATAATGCTTCAGCTCAGGTTCAACTTTATACTTTTTCATCATATGAAAGAACTCCCATGCCTTGTCTACCATCCCCGAGTGCACACAAGCAGATAACACACCAAGAAATGTAACCGAATTTGGCATCACTGCTTCTCGTTGCATCCTTTGGAAGAGCTCGAAAGCATCATCTGCACGGCCATTCATTCCATGGCCGAGAATCAAAGCGCTCCACGAGATCACATCCCTAATGGGCATCCTACCAAACACCCTCTCCGCATAACCAAACGCCCCGCACTTCACATACATATCCACAACCGCATTCCCCAAACTCAACGGGAGCCCAAACTGCCTCCTAACACAAAACCCATGCACGCTCCTCCCATGTCTAAGCGAACCTAACTGCCCGCATGCCAACAACAAGCTCACCGCCGCCACAATGTCACCCTCAATCCCATCTCTCACCATCTCTCTAAACACTCTCAAGGCCAGCTCTGCCTCCCCATTCTGTGCATACCCAGAAACCATCGACGTCCACAAGACATAATCCCTATCAGGAGTTTCGTAGAATGCCTTCCGGGCATCCTTTGCATGCGAAAATGCATTATAAAACAAAACCAATGCCGACCCAACAAATAGATTCCGATCAAGACCCAACTTCACCGACAGCCCGTGGATCGCCACGCCGGCAGAAAGGGATCGGATCGAGATGCAGGAGCGGAGGACGGGGGGAATGGTGAAGTGGTCGATGCGGAGGTCGCCATGAGAGTGCATGGAGAGGAAGAAAGAGAGGGATTTGAGGGGGAGGGAATGGCGAGAGAGCTCGGAGATGAGGGTGTTGAAGGTGAAGGAGTTGGGGTTGGGGATGGAGTGGAGGAAGAGGGAGAGGGAGGAGAGGATGACGTTGTGGGGTTTGGAGTAGGAGAGGAGGAGCTTGGTGGAGAGGAGGGGGTACGAGAGGAGGAGGTTGAGGCGGAGAAGGCGGCCGTGGAGGTGGCGGAGGTGGCGAGGGGAGGGGGAGGACTGGAGGAGGTGGAAGTAGTAGGAGATTGTGTTGGGGTTTGGGCATGGTTGTGGTGGCGGGAAAGTAGCTTGGATTTCGGGAGCGCCATTTTTTGTAATTGGGGTCTAGCACAAATCTGTGTACACATATACACAACAAATAATAATAATGAATAATGAGTATTTAGGACTAAATTACCAGAGTGTTGTAAAAAGTGAAACATGTTTACCTAGTAGTTTACTAGTAGCGGAAGGGAATAGAAAGAAGGGAAGAGAAATAAGGAAAAGTAACGAAAATTAAATGAGAGGAAAAACATAATAATCATGTCTACGAGTTTAGTAAAATGAACAAAAGTAAATTATTTCTTAGTTGTTATTTTTTATATTATGATGGTGCAAAATCTTTTACTTCCTCTACATCCCAATCTGGAGAAGGAAATCAAATTATATAGAATAGAGGTTAATGAATATAAAATGTGTTTACTCTTTTTCCCTCCGATATCTTTAAAAAAAGGAAAATTTGCTTCAAGGCCTCAAAAATGAAAACATGATGTGTCCTAACCCGCTGTACTTTTTGTGATGTGTCACAGCCTCAAAAATAAAAAGTTAATGTGATTCTGCCCTTTTTACAATTCCCAAGAGAATTAATTCCCAAAAAATCCCAAACTACCCTCTTCTTCTTCTTCAGATCTTCTCCTTCTCCTCTCATCTCCTCTTCCACCCTCTCTCCAACCTCGCTGGATACCTCCAACACCGTCGCCACCTCCGCCTCCCCTCGACCTCGTCGACTCCATCCTCAGTTGTAGCCCCCGCCGCCACCATCGCTACCCTTCTTCCTCTTCTTCTTCTCCTTCTCTGTCTACCCCCTCTTGAGTTTTGAGGGCTCCGTTCTCTCCCCCGTCGCCCCATCCCCCCCGAGATAGAGCAGATCTCCGTCGCCTCCATCGCCACGTCAGCCCCTCCCCTCCACTCTCTCCCCGTTGTCAAATCCTTGGGCGGGTCGGGATCTGATTCTGGCGGCCTATCCGTCGGCGTCGGAGTTGGTTAAGGGGATCGCGGCCGAGTGTGGGGTTGTTTTTGATGAGGTTGGTGGAGATCTTAGGAGTTCTAATTTGTGTTTTTTTGCTTTGTTTTGGGTGGGAAGGTCTAGAGATGGGATTCTTCCTCTGGCATGAAGGCATGGACGAGACAGTGTTGAGCTTAGCTGATCAAGAAGCAGACAACCACTCATAGATTAACTTTTTGGAGGGTCAGCGTCTCGTTGACTGTGGAAGATCGGATCACCGCTCCTCTGGTTCTCTGATTTGAAGTCGTTGCGCCGCAAATGTATCTGATGCACCGCCAATTATACAATAGACTGAAATTATTACTCATAATTATGTGTTACTTTTTTAACTTTTTCCCAAAAGAAAAGTTTATTCTAGTAGTGTCGTGTGAGTGTGATGATACATAGATATTAGTGTTTTAGTCTGTATTGAGTAACATGTTCCTTTTTGCATGAGATCAGGATAACATGTTCCATTTTGTAATTTATTTGGTAAATATCATCGGAAACATGTTAACTTTCTTTGTTCGTTTGTTAAGTTACACTGGTAACATGTTAACTTTCGCAGTTCGCTTGTTAACTATAATACGTAGCATGTTAACTTTAATTGGTAAATTGATAATTATATTCAGTAAATTTTTAACTATAATCCATTATCCGTTAATTGTTATTTGTAATCCATTATCCATTAACTGTTATTTCGGGTCATATACATGTTAATATAGTTCTCATTTAACATGTTAACTATAATACGTAGCATGTTAACATAATCCGTTAACACATTAAAATAGAACTATAATACATAAATTGATAACTATAATACGTAGCATCTAACACGCTATTGTTAAAACCTGTTTCTCAGCCACGCTGTTGTTAAAACCACCTGAATCACTTAACATAGGTGTGATTGTTGTTAAAACCACCTGGATCACTTAACATAAGTGTGAATAGGTGCTAATTCTTCTTCTTCTCTTCTTTGCAGAAACTAATCCAGGTGGTTTTAACAACAGTGTGGCTGAGAAACAGGTTCTTCGTGTTAGCAATCCTCGACAAGTTTCCTAACACGGACGCTATCCATCTCGACATCCTCATGAATGCCTACACCCACTCTTCTTCACCTGATGATGCCCTGCGTCTATAATTTACATGTTCTATGTTAAATATAATTGAGAAATTGTTAATTTTAAATTATGAGAACGTAGTGTACCAAAAGATGAGATCAGGAGAACATGTTCCTTTTTACAATTTATTTGGTAAATATCATTGGAAACATGTTAACTTTCTTTGTTCGCTTGTTAAGTTACACTGATAACATATTAATTTTCGCAGTTCGCTTGTTAACTATAATACGTAGCATGTTAATCTTAATTGGTAAATTGATAACTATATTCAGTAAACTGTTAACTATAATCCATTATATGTTAACTGTTATTTATAATTTGTTAACTATTAATTATATTCAGTAAACTGTTAACTATAATCCATTATATGTTAACTGTTATTTATAATTTGTTAACTATTAATCATTATTTGTTAACTGTTATTTATAAATTGTTAACTATAATGAATTATTTGTTAACTGTTATTCGTAAACTATCTGTTAACTATAATTCATTATTAGTTAATTGTTATTTGTAATCAGTTAACTATTATTTGTAATCCATTATCCGTTAACTGTCATTTAACATTTTAAGAGTTAAGGTACATTAAACATACTACAAAATTTATGGGAAAATTGCTTCAAGGCCCCAAAATTAAAAAAAAACAATGTGCAACAGCCCCCTGTACTTTAACGTTTAAATTTAACCCTTTAACGTTTAAATTTAACCCACAAGGGTTAACATGTTATCCACAAGAGTTAACATGTTATCCACAATAATTAACATGTTTGCCACAAGAGTTAACATGTTAGTCACAAGAGTTAACATGTTATCCACAAGAGTTAACATGTTATCCATAAGAGTTAACATGTTATCCATAAGAATTAACAAATTAGCCACAAGAGTTAACATGTTATCCACAAGAATTAACATGTTAGCCATAAGAGTTAACATGTTATCTACAAGAGTTAACATGTTTGCCATGGATTGAGCTCGATGATTTTAACATTATTTTAACATGTTATCTACAAGAGTTAACATGTTTAGTAATTTAATGTTAACTCTCTTTAATGTTAACTGTGAACCTCTATTAATTGTTTGTTATGTTTGCGCGTTTAGATGTTAGCTTTCATGTTTTAGATTTTAACCCTCCATAACTTATTGCTTTTTAAGGTACGTCGATGTCATCGTTAGTGATAACAACACAATTACATACCCGAAACTACTATATTTGCTCCGTGGGGGAAGACTTGATGACAAAGTAACAGAGGTCATCTTAGATAGATTACGACAATGGTTGCAGTTGCAGGAGAACGTTGCCTTAAATAAGCAGTATGGGATTGTATCTACATATTTCTGCGTAAGACCAATCTTCATATAATTAGTTAATATCTAAGCTCTTATAGTTAACATGTTAACCATAATAGTTAACATGTTAACCATAATAGTTAACATGTTAAAAACAACTGTTAGTCACAACAGTGAACATGTTAGCCACAAAAGTTAACATGTTATCCGCAAGAGTTAACATATAGCCACAAAAGTTAACATGTTATCCACAAGAGTTGATATGTTATCCACAAAAGTTAACATGTTATCCACAAGAGTTAACATATAGCCACAAGAGTTAACATGTTATCCACAAGAGTTAACATGTTAGCCACAACAGTTAACATGTTAAACACAAGAGTTAACATGCTAACCACAATAGTTAACATGATAAATATTATGGTTAAAATATTAACTATATGAACTTGAACCATGTTCACTCTATTCAAAGCCGAGTGGATTAAAAGGATATATAATGGAGGGAGCGCGCCAAAATCCCCCCAACAAAATATTATCAGTTAATCAGCTATAGTTCACATGTAATGGGTAAAACTTAACAACTAATTAACAAAACTTAACATTTAAAATGAAAAAGTTAACACTTACTCCACTATACTTAACATGGAACATGTAAACGTTAACAGTTAATTTGCTATAGTTCACTTGTATTGGGTAAAACTTAACATTTATACATCCATTATTTTAAATGAATATTTTTGTATGTAGGTTTTTATTCCTCAATTATCAACCATCATGTACAAACTACATATAATTATCAAGCCAACAAAAATTGCTTATGTATATAAACTACATATAGTTTGTACATTATGTGTATAATAAACTGCACGACAAATAACACCACTTACTAACACCAATGACCACAATTCCCAAAATCCCACCATACAATTTGCAATATCAACAACAATCAAACTGCATAGAGAACAACATCAAACTCCTTCCCAGTTCAACTGGAGCTTACATGACAACAAACAACAGCAGACACAAGAAATCACCATCAGAACCCCAATGAACTACTGCATCCCTCAGTTCCTCAAGAACTCTCAGACTTCAAAGAAGGATTGAAAGGAACCTGCTCAGCGCAATCCAGATTATCTCCAGAGTAATCTCTTCCAACGTCCATCAAATCCAAATAATACTAGTAGTGTGATATCATGTTGTCCATATCATCGATAAAACCTTGCCCACAAATTTGGTTCCGGTAGAGAACGTTCATGGTGGCTTTGAAACCCGATAGCCTTTTAGATAGAGTGTTGTTCTTCGTGGGCTCCCAGTTGCCAACAAACACATCGTGAGTGGAGGGATGCTTCTTCTTTATCGGGGTCATCCATCGCCACATCGCAGCTTGGAAAGCTAGGGTTGCATTTTGTTCGAGGTACTATGGGTGGTGGAGATGAGGAGCTTGCGGAGGTGGGAGTTGGAGTGGACGGCGGTGAGTTCGAGGTCGTAGAGGTCGAAGTCGAGGAAGTTGGCTAAGTGTAAATAGGACTCGAAGTCGTCTTCGTCGTCGTCAAAGTCAGAGGTGAAGGAGACGTCGGTGGTGGCGTTGAGCTCGCTGGAGGAGATGAGATCAAGATTTTGTAAGGATTTGACAACGGGGAGAGAGTGGAGGGGAGGGGCTGACGTGGCGATGGAGGCGACGGGGATCTGCTCTATCTCGGGGGGGGGATGGAGGCGACGGGGGAGAGAACGGAGCCCTCAAAACTCATGAGGGGGCAGACAGAGAAGGAGAAGAAGAAGAAGAGGAAGAAGGGTAGTGATGAGGTAGCGATGGTGGCGGCGGGGGCTACGACTGAGGATGGAGTCGACGAGGTCGAGGGGAGGCGGAGGTGGTGGCGGTATTGGAGGTACCCAGCGAGGTTGGAGAGAAGGTGGAAGAGGAGATGGGAGGAGAAGGAGAAGATTTGAAGAAGAAGAAGAAGAGGGTAGTTTGGGGTTTTTTGGGAATTAATTCTCTTGGAAATTGTAAAAAGGGCTGAATCACATTAACTTTTTATTTTTGGGGCTGAGACACATCATAAAAAGTACAGGGGGCTAGGACACATCATGTTTTTATTTTTGGGGCCTTGAAGCAATTTTCCCTTAAAAAAACTCCCACATAAGATTAATCTATTAACCTTACTTCCCCTCTCTTCCCCTTGTTCGCATCCATCTAAACAGGGCGAATGTACTAAATGATTTTCAAGCTTGTGAGGATGGCACTTCTTGAATCTTAATATTTACGAAGTTGAATTATAAGAAATATTTGTAAATATACCCACTCAAAAAATTTCACATTTAAAAATTTACTCATCTTTCTCTCCACCATCAACTCCCGATTCCCAAGCTCCCCAAAACCTCTTCCCCACCTCCCCTCATTCCGTTCCCTCCTCTTTCAAATTCCTAGTCTCATCCTAATCTCCTCATCTAATTCATTTCCAAACCTCACCTCTTTTGTCAATGTAGACGGTAAAAATTACCTCCGCAAACTTACATGAAATTCGCCTGCGAGTCGGAGTCGCCCACACGATTTGAGGCCAAACCATGCGAGTCTGTGGCCAACAGATATGAGTGCATTTGGCGACCGTGTGGTTTGGGCTCGTGCTAGTGAGTCAAGTCCAAGGGTGAGCCCTATCCTCAAATCGTGTGGGCGACTCCGACTCGCAAGCGAATTTCATGTAAGTTTGCGGAGGTAATTTTTACCGTCTACAGTCAACTTCTTCAACATTTCTCTCATCTCTCTCCTTCTCTTCCTCCTCTCCTCTCTTCTCCTCCTCATCTGCTCCTAAATTCTTCATATTATATTAAAGGGATTTTTTTGAAAGATCTTTTTTGCTAAATAATTAGCAAAATAAATCATTTTGCTAATTATTTAGCAAAAACGACCTTTTTGGTCTGTTTGACCAAAAAGAGGTCGTTTTAAAAAACCGCGAGTTCAAAACATACGGGACTGCTAGTCCCGTATGTTTAGTTGCCACTAAGTGGGAGCTAATACGATCCAAAAAACCTACGGAACTACTAGTCCCGTAGCTTTCGGGGATGCTCCACATGTTGTAGCTCATGGTTGATGGCCTCATTTGTTGTCGTTTGGTGGGGCCCTCGTGAGCCGTGTGAACCCTTCTCCTTCTATCACTCTTCTTCTCTGCTCTATCAACAGAGAGCAAGTGAAGAGGAGAAAAACTACAAAGTCTCGTGGAGAAAAGGTGAAGCGCAATCCTCGTCGAGGATCAACTCGGAGACATCGTGGACTCCAACGGTGATGTCGGAGCAGTAATAGATGATTGCGGGGAGTCTGGAATGCTAGAGATAGAAGGTGGCGACAACGACCTAGCAAGACAGTGGCTTCTATGCTAGCTATTGATTTAAAGTGGCAATAGACGCCGATGACAACTGAAGCTGTTTGTGACGAGAGGACAACATAGGGCATGGAGTTTGTGGCCGGCACGACGCGAATCGATGATGGTTGAGGCTGCTTGCAATGGCGACGGTGAGGAGATTGTAACATCTCTCGAGTTTGAGGTTGAATTCAATGGTCGTAGGCGTTTGGATTACGGTTGAAAGCTTTGCGGATCTTAAAGGTGGTGACGGGTCATCCGTGATGATCTCCTTAGCTTCTACTCCTCATATCCATCATACGCTCACGTACAGATATAAATGAAAGAGAAACACATAAATCTACGGGCCTACTAGTCCCATAGATTTGATGTGTTTGTTGTAGCCCACACAAAAAATCCTACGGGACTAGTAGTCCCATAGGTTTTTCGGGTCGTATTAGCCTCTGATTAGTAGCGACTAAACATACGGGACTAGCACTCCCGTATGTTTTGAACTCGCAGTTTTTTAAAAACGACCTCGTTTTTTCTAAATAATTAGCAAAACGGTCTGTTTTGCTAATTATTTAGCAAAAATATCTTTTTTTTAAGGGAAAAATGTGTTCAGCCCCCAAAAGCAGAAACTTCATGTGACCAACCCCCTTGTATTTTCCCCCATGTGGATAAGCCCCAAAAAGTAATGTTAAATGTGTCAAGGCCCCAACACGTTAGCAGTATACAAAATAGAGATTGTATTTAAAAAAAACCCAAATTGCCCTTCTCCTTCTTCCCGAGACATAGCCCAAAAGCATAGAAAGTCACGTCATCCTTCTCTCTCTCTCTCCTCTCTCTCCCTCTCTCTAAAATAAAAGGGGCCCTCGCCCTCCTCGCCGTCATCACCTTTGCCCAGGCCCCCGGTGCCGCCCCCAAGTCCCTCCGGGCCCACGACTGATAAAATGTTAGCTCTGGTATGTGGTGAAAACAAAACCAGAAAAAGGCAACAACGGATGTGCTGGAGGTAGAGCTAACGCCGGAGCTCCGCTAGCCTCTTCTCTTCGTTCTTTCCTGCTCTGCCGCCGTCGAAACCCTTCCCCTGTCTCCGCTTGTCCTCTTCCACGACGATTTCCGCTAAGAAACGTAAGGATGCTGGCGTCAATAGATTGGAGCTTGATATCTACGATTTTATGAAGAAATCTGAGAACCCGAGTGCGTTTTTGACGAGGGAGGAGCTGATTTCAGGCGGGAGGCTGGGTTTGCCGAGGAGATTCTGAAAGAAGGGGACTAGCTCTCGTACGGATGGACGAAACCATGAGAAGAGAAGGAAGCCGTCGAGATCTCTGAGCAGTGGTCGAATGATGGTTTCTTGGAGGAGGATTCTTCGTCTTCCTCTTCTGGTGATCTGATATGAGTGAGTTCTTGAAAATTTTGTGTTTTTGAGATTTCTGGTTTTCTTGTTTCTTGAGCTCTTCTTTTGGTTGTTATTGTAAAGTTGGAAATGTGAGGTTGAGTGCAAGGTGAATGACGTGGAGGGTATGATTGGGGAGTTGTTTGGACGAAGTGGAAGAAGATGAGGGAGAGGTGATCCATTTTGTTCTATGTTATTAGCCATTGTATTTACTAGTGTTTAGGGGTTGAACCCCTTCAAGAATTTGTATAATGCTTAGTTAATTGCACATAAACCTCATGTGTTATAGGGGGCCTTGTCATTTGTTGTCCCTGAGCCATGCATTTCCTAGAGAACAAGCTGTTTGAACTAGTTCATGTTAGTTCTAAATCAATTCTTACGTATTTTGTATTTTGTATAAGATTACTTCTCCACAAAATATAATGAAAGCGAATGTTGTGTTCTTACGTGGCATAAGCTGGTCCGCCATAATAAAGATACCTACTAAATGCTTGTTTTAAATTCTCTACATGACCAGCTTTTAGTCATAGAGATGGTATAAAATAGAACTAACTTAGTATAAAATAGAACTAACGTGGTGTAATTTAGAACTAACGTGATATAAAATAGAACTAACGTGGTATAAATTAGAACTAACATGGTTAAAATTAGAACTAACTTGATATAAAATAGAACTAACGTGGCATAAAATAGAACTAACGTGGTATAAATTAGAACTAACGTGGTTAAAAGTAGAACTAACTTGGTATAAATTAGAATTAACTTGGTATAAATTAGAACAAACTTGGTTAAATTTTTAGAACTAACTTGTTATAAAATAGAACTAACTTGGTATAAATGAGATATAACATGGTATAAATTAGGTTTATAACGTGGTTTAAATTAGAACTAACATAAATTAGATATAACGTGGTATAAATTAGATATAACGTGTAATAAAATAGAACTAACAAGCCATCACACGCTACAGAATAGAACTAACACTGTGCAGATTAGAACTAACACTCTACAGAATAGAACTAACACTGTGCAGATTAGAACTAACACTCTACAGAATAGAACTAACACTGTGCAAATTAGAACTAACACTCTACAGAAATGGAACTAACACTGTGCAGATTAGAACTAACACTCTACAGAATAGAACTAACACTGTGCAGATTAGAACTAACACTCTACAGAATAGAACTAACACTGTGCAGATTAGAACTAACACTCTACAGAACAGAACTAACACTGTGCAGATTAGAACTAACACTCTACAGAATAGAACTAACACTGTGCAGATTAGAACTAACACTCTACAGAATAGAACTAACACTGTGCAGATTAGAACTAACACTCTACAGAATAGAACTAACACTGTGCAGATTAGAACTAACACTCTACAGAATAGAACTAACACTGTGCAGATTAGAACTAACACTCTACAGAATAGAACTAACACTGTGCAGATTAGAACTAACACTCTACAGAATAGAACTAACACTGTGCAGATTAGAACTAACACTCTACAGAATAGAACTAACACTGTGCAGATTAGAACTAACACTCTACAGAATAGAACTAACACTGTGCAGATTAGAACTAACACTCTACAGAATAGAACTAACACTGTGCAGATTAGAACTAACACTCTACAGAATAGAACTAACACTGTGCAGATTAGAACTAACACTCTACAGAATAGAACTAACACTGTGCAGATTAGAACTAACACTCTACAGAATAGAACTAACACTGTGCAGATTAGAACTAACACTCTACAGAATAGAACTAACACTGTGCAGATTAGAACTAACACTATAAATTAGAATTAACGTGGTATAAATTAGAACTAACGTGGTTAAAATTAGAGCTAACTTGGTATAAATTAGAACTAACTTGGTATAAATTAGAACTAACGTGGTATAAATTAGAACTAACGTGGTTAAAATTAGAGCTAACTTGGTATAAAATAGAACCAACTTGGTATAAATTAGAACTAACATGGTATAAAATAGATAAATTAGAACTAACTTGATATAAATTAGAACTAACGTGGTATAAATTAGAACTAACGTGGTATAAAATAGAACTAACGTGGTATTTCAGTGACAAGGGAAAAAAGAGAAATATTTATGGATGATGTTGGCAGCTTCTTACAACAGAAGGCAAAATTCGTAAGCCAGCTTGATTTCAACTAACAAAACTATGGCAAACATTAAAGAGCATATTTCAACCAGTAAAAGAAACTTTGCTTCCCAGAGGGGACTGAAATAAACTTATAATTCTTTTCAACATAATATATTAGCACTCAGAATGATTCATTGATGACTTAGCTTTCATTTCAAAGCTCGTGAAAGGAACCAAAACCAACAAACATAGAACTAATAAATCTGCATATATCAAATTTGAAATCTGCTCGTGATGTAAATGCATTGATGACATTTAGTTCTAATACACTGGAGTTGGAGCAGGTGGTCTCTGCAGACCATCATGATCGGAGCGGCGGCGATCGCGGGCTAGGCGGGTGGCGAGCTCCAGCTGCAAGCTCGGGTGGAGGAGAGGAGGAGAGGGAAACGCTGAACTTAAGGCGGAGAGTGGCAGCGACGAACTCCGGCGTAGTCGAGGGTGAGGCGGGGAGCAGCGGCGAGAGAGAGAGAGAGAGAGAGAGAGAGAGGCATGGTTCTTGAATAGGAAGGGGGCGTAGTAAACGAGTACAGTCCCATCAAAGGGGTAAGTTCGTAACTTCCCATGGGCTTTTTTTTTAAAGTGATACTTTAGGGCCTCGTCACAAATACTGTAGGTATTTGGGGCTTATCCACATGGGGGGAAATACAAGGGGGCTGGTCACATGAAGTTTTTGCTTTTGGGGCCTTGACACATTTTTCCCTTTTTTTAATCCCTATATTAAATTCTTCATATTATATTAACTTCTTCAACCCTTTTCTCATCTCTCTTCTCCGCTCCCAAACTCCTAAATTCTCATAAAAGTTGTTTCATATTATTAGTCTTATATTCTTGACTGGAGACACTACTTTTAAACAAACTTAAAATTGAGGGAACGTAGTAGCAATTTCAACGATTTGAGGACTAATTTCAAGTTAAGATTTGAGGCATATATTTGCAAATTTGAGGGACTAGGTCAACCTAACCCTTTTATTTTCTAAACAATTAAAGCGACCGACCCTTTAACATCGACAAGCCGGTCCAAACCCGTGCCTCTTCATCTTTCTCCTCTGCTGTCTTCTCTTCAATAAACCCCCAACAAAAAAAAAAAAAAACCCTTCCTCATCAGAACAAATTACTAAAATCTAAAAATAAAAATAAAAATCGAAAGAAGCTCGGCGGCCGCTTCTCCTCTTCAGCCTGCACTTGGACACTCGCCCTTGCTTCCACGTCAGCATCCATCAGCTTCTTTAAGTACTGGAGCCAGCTCGGTCTTAGGGTTTCTAACGCGATTGAATGCCTGAGCTTTACTTTGATCAGATCAGGTATGCTCTAGCTTTATCAGTTTTATCTCTTTAAAAATTTGAATCTGTTGTGTAGAAAGTAGGGATCTTTTTTCATGGAGCTCACCATTTCCAGAGGTAAAATCTATGATGCAGTCTCTTAGGGTTTAGGGTTTCTAATGTCATTGAAGGCCTGAGGTGTTCTTGGATTAGTTGATGTTTACTTCTCCGGTCGCTTCTTTTATTGATTCATTTATAGACCTTTAATTTATGTTTGTGCTTTTTTTCTTGAGAAAAATAAGTTTTGCTATTGTTAGATTGTGCTTTAGTTTTATTAGTTTAGTTGTTTGATATTTGAATCATTCTAAGAGAAAGGAGGGAGCTTGTTGATGAAGCTCATCGTTTATACGATACAATCGAATAGGGTTTTAGTGTCATTGATCTGGCGAAGCTGGTGCTCAAAAGCCTTCCTTCTTTTTTTTTTGAAGCCCGAAGCCTCATTGGTTGAGTAGACGAGACATGCTATGATGGGTGGCACACAGAACCATGTCCAAGCTTTCCTTGATCTGATCAGCTAATCTCGCTACTTCTCCAGTTTCTTCTCTTGCCGAATCTTTCTATTACTTCTCCCTAGACATTTAGGTTTTTGTCCAAAATATGCATTATCGAAATAGTTGATGAAATAGCAAAGTTTTAAATATCGGATATCGGGGAAATATCGGATGACCAAAATTCATATCGGATTGCGGATATCGGGGATATGTGGTAAATATCGGAATGCCATAATGAATGTTTGCATCCATAGTATAATGCATTAAAATGTAATCTCAACGTATGTAATAAAATTTAAGCATACAAAATATGAATAATATATGTTTAGGATCACTAATCAACCTTCTAAAACAAACAAAAGTGCAAAGCAACGTTGCAACATTCGATCTGCTTTTTTTAGGGCAAAGTGTCATTTGATATAATGGGGAAATCTTGATATCTTGCCCAAAAATTCCAAACACGGTATATTATTTTACAACAAGCTATATAAAAAGATATATTGGTCTACATGTCGGCTAATATATCAGCCATATTAGGGATTTATCACTCAAAATAGCCAAAAAGCGGTAAAGGATATTTAAAGACCATATCGGTTGCGGCAAGCCCTGTAAAAGGATATATCGGGGGATATATCGGGCCATGTCGGGGATATTTAAAACAATAAAACAATGTGAAATAGGCTTTGCCTTTGTTTGAATTTGAAGGGTAAATTGCAAAAAACACCCCACAGTTTTAAAAGTGACACCTTACCCTCTCTCTTTTATTTTCTATAAAATTTATTTAGGATGTAAAAGCATATCATAGGATATGCGAATTATATGCACTCATATAAGCATATCTATGATCATTACATCCAAACGTTGTTGATTATTTGACTTGAAACTGAAACCGATCAGGTTAAACTGTCAGTTTCAGAAACTAATAGGGATTTCTGTCAGTCATGCAAACCTAAGGGGAATTTTGTAATTTATCCAAATTTGAATCTGTCTGCTGCAAAGAAAGTAGGGGTCTTGTTGATGAAGTACTGAATTGCTTGAAGTAAAATGTATGATTGGTGAAGGTATTTGTCATTGACAAAGATACCATGGGTAACTTTGGTTGATTTGATAAGGAAAAGCAAGAACATTGGTGAGGTATGCTGTTTTTGGCATAACACATGCAAACAAGTGACTATGATGGATATTGGAAAAAGTAAATAGCTTTAAGCTGGAATAACACTTGATTGTCTTGTTAGATCCGTGGGAGAAGAAGGTCTTACAAACCTTTGCCTAATTTGAGAAAAAGGTTTGATGGCCATGTTTGGTTGTTTGTTCTACATTCATTTGCCAGCAGTCAGCACACATTTAAAATAGTGACAGATTCTTTGATGTATAAATACTTTAATTGTGTTTAGTTGGGTTTTCACGTCGCATACTTGCCCAAAATAGTCCATGATGTGAATAGACCTCTTCCTTTTTTCCTCACTTGGCATTCCAGAACTACTCTTTTAGGTTCTCATTTCAACTATCATTATCCAAACAACTTTTTCTCTAAAGTTTCAGCTTCTTCTGATCAGGATTCATATGTTTATACCTTCAAATATTCTACTAATTTTTTCTTTTAATACATAATATAAAGTAAATGCCTTTGGATATAGTGAACAAGTGAACGTGTAGTTTTTAACATATAGTATGTTTGAACTGCAAAAGCATTTTTTTATTGCTTCTATTTGTATAAGTAAAAAAGCTATGTTTGCTGCCATGTCCATAAAACAATTCAACGAAAAAATATGTCATTTATTGTTTTGGTGATAAAATCCGTGCCTTCATTACATTACTGTGGATGAATATGATAGTGCTAAGACAAATATCACTGCCAAATGTGCATCAAATCCCTGAGAATGTTAGGAATATTTGGAACATTCCAACATACAAAGCAACATATATGTCCTGCAGTTCAAAAATAACTGCAGTATGTGTAAATATGCAATATATACACCAACATCGATTGTTAAAGGAATTCAGTAATATATCAGTAAATTAAAACAGTTTAGCTTTTTTACACTACATTTTTGTAGACAACTACGGTAGTTGGTTCTGATTTACCGTATGCTTCAAAGTTATTGTACCAATCACCTGCTGAAATACTAGTTATAAGATGCACATTGAGGTTATTATTTTCCATATACTACATCTTGAACTTGAAATTATTCTATTTTCTGTTACCTTACCAAATGCCACACTTGTATTAATTGGTCTGTGCTGGGTTCGTAAATAGGGGCGCCTCATTTTAAAGATAGTGAAACCTGACAAAATCATATGTGATTTGGCTTTCTGAAGCTTGTTATGAACCTTCACTCTTGGTTCTATGTCTGGTAAATATGTACATAAGTGAGACATATAAATGACTTGAGTCTATCAGCTTACATAAAGGTATTAAATAGTCAACGACAGAAATCATAAGTCTCGTGAAATTTGTTCTGTTATAAATGGCTGATTGGATTTCGTTAAGAATAGAGCTTTTGGGATAAGATTGCACTGAAGTATTTAAATACAAGAGCAAAAGAAGAGGTTTTAGTATCGTAAGCAATGTGAGACTAAAAGAACAATATGCCTAGTAACTATATTTAGCACCCCCAATCAAACTCACGGTCGGTGGAGAACCGAGAGTTTGGATAAGACGAGCCAAATAGATGGTTATTGGCATGATTTGGTGAGAAATGGTTGCACATCGGTGACTAAAATTGCATGCAGCGAGATCATGTTATTGCAACGGTGATTGACGGTTACACGCGGTGGTCGCGATAGGGCGGACTTGTAGTCGGGGGAGAAGGCGTGGTGACTGGACCTTGCAAGCGGCGAGGTATGATGTTGCAGCAGTGATCAGCAGTCACACACGGTGGTCGCGAGAGAGCAGACCTGTGGTCATGAGAGGAGGCACGATGACTGGATTTTGCAAGCATCGGTGAGTGGAAAGTGTTTGGCTAGTGAGAGCTTGGCTAGAGGCTGACAAAGGAGTGAGAAATCTCGCTAAGGCAATTTGTCGAGCACCCTGTGTGCATTCGATGAATAGTTTTGTGTAATTACACTAATCGAAGCAACAGTGGTGTTGGCAGGCAGAGGTTTGCAATGGAGAAACTGCTAGGGTTTCGTAAGGCGAGAGATTGCAGCGGTAGAGTTTGGACGAGGGTTGGAGCCACAAGGACGATGATGACCAGTGGGTCCGAGTTGTCGGACATGGTCGGAACTGATCGACGACGTTGAGGGTTATCCTTGGCAGTAGTGACGGCCAAGAAAAGGTTGTTGTCGAAGTTGGTACCGAAGCAACAAGGTTTTGTAGTGAGCAAAGGACGGCGAGAGGTTGTGAGCGATGGTGCGGTGCATCAATGTTGCATCTGGTGTCGAGGACGCCGAGGGGAAGTTCAGAGTTTTTGGCAAAACCCCCTCGGTAGCTCAACGTAGAGGAAGAAGAAAGAGGTCTCTCTGGGATCAAGATGATGGTTCTGATACCATGTTAAGAAATTAGCTTTTGGTTGAAAAGAGAATATTTTATTCATTGCACTGAAGTGTTTAAATACAAGAGCAAGAGAAAGGTTTTAGTATCCTAAGCGATGTGGGACTAAAAGAAAGAGATACAATATGCCTAATAATTATATTTACCAGATTCCATCATTTCCTTTGCAGTTTCATGTATCTTCCTCTTACCTCAGTTTCATGTTCTTTAGGCTTGGCTCAAATCCATGCAACTATTTCCCCTGCTTTTTTGGTCTGGAGCTTCTATAATTTACAAGGTGCACAAATTTGTTTGCAGTCTATCAAGTAAATGTATTTTCTTCTATGAGCTTCTTTTTTCAGTTTTAAAGTATTCATACTAGCATAATACATCGGACCTTCCCTGGTTACACAATCAGTTTACTTACCAAAGGTATAATGCTTAAATTTCAGAGTTTCATCGTTGGAGTTGATCTATGCTCATAAAGAAAAGGATGAATACTTGGGTTACATAGTCATCCCTCCTTGACAAGGAAAGAGGCATGGTATCAACTATCAAGGCCTCAGCATCTGATTTTTTTTCCTTGATTACTATCAGTATAGTTTATTTTTTACTTCATTGGTAGTTATATATTTGCAGAGCACATACTCGTTTAAGACTTCAAAGTGGTCACCGCTCCCATTGAGGGTTGTTCTTCTCACCTTCGTCATGATATTCGGTGTGTATGTATGCTCTGTTTATTTGAAGCAGATTTCTCTGCAGAAATATCCTGTGGATATATCATTTTCATCCGAAAAAACAAAATTAAGTTGTAATTCCCATGACATCCCACCTGAGGAGATCCCTTATGTTCATTTTCCTCAACCAAAAACTTTTAGCAGGTAATGCTTTGATGTCTTTAGTTTCTCCATGATGCTTATATTTTTCTCGCCCTCATGCGTTGCTAATTCAAGCAGGACAGAATGCTCATGCACTCCTGTTCGCTACTTTGCTCTTTTATCCATGCAAAGATCTGGAAGTGGATGGTTTGAAACTCTGCTAAATAGTCACCCAAATGTTAGTTCAAATGGGGAGATATTTTCAGTTAAGGAAAGAAGAAGTAATATTACAGCTATCCTTAGGACATTAGATGCTGTCTATGCATTAGACTGGTTAAGTAGTGCTTCAAAAAATGAATGTGTGGCGGCAGTTGGATTTAAGTGGATGCTGAACCAGGTTTGTCCTTTTATCATCTGTTCCACTTTTATTGTTTTTTCTGTCTTTCTGCAAATATAAGAACTGGAATTACTCTTTCTGCTTTCTAGTCCTATGAGAAAAAGGGGTATGGTGTTTTCACTTATCTCGACAATAAATTGGTGTCTCATTTATGGTGTTTACACTTCCCTCAGAAGGCGGACTGATTTTTCATTAGGCTTAGACATCTTTGTATGCTTTGTGGCAATTTATGTCAGATGACAAGTGCAATAGACCTGTTCAAGGCTTCAAGCATACAATATCAGCAGCAATTTTCACCTGAACTGTTTATTGAATTTTTCCTGATATGATGAGTACCCTTTGTTGTACAGGGCCTCATGGATCATCACAAGGAGATACTTAAATACTTCAAATCAAAAGGGGTATCTCTAATATTTCTTTTCCGAAGAAATCTCTTGCGAAGGTTCATATCTGTTTTGGCAAATAATTATGACAGACGTGCAAAGCAGCTAAATGGCACTCACAAGTCCCATGTCCATTCTAAGGAAGAGGTCTCCTCTCATGCATGCTCTCCTTTCTATTTTGAAGTCTTGTGTTCACATTCTGCATAGCAGTAGAGAATTTTGATTAGTTTAAATAATCACAGTCCAGAACTGTAATAACCTATGAACATCCTGTTGATTCTATCACCTTGGTATCATGCAAATTATAAAGTATAACAGCGTAGTCACGGGTTCATCACTTAACCACTTGCTTAATCCTGTGAATGTTGGATTTGGTATTCAACCACATTAGTCAAAATTTTGTTTTTATAACAGTTAATGTACAACTGCTCGTTGCATCCTACAACTCCTCATGCTTTTAACTTAATGTTTATTATATGTTTCTATAAGAGAAATAACTTCTTATTCATTATATATTTCTATCAATTAACGATATGTTTTACTTAAACTCAAATATCATGCCAGCTTACATCAACTCCTGTAACAAAAGGATCATTCATCCATTCAAACAGTTACTTAGTAAATACAATTTCCTACTTGTATAAAACCTGTTAATGTGACTTGAAAAAACATAAAAAAAAACCATGTTGTAAATAGTGTCAATTCTTTTATCATGTTTTCCTTTCCTGATATGTTGAACCTGTCAGGGCCTCGGCGGATAGCTGGGCATGACTTATGGCAGACCAGTACAGGGTGGACTGGACTTAATTGTATTGGCCTCATCTAACTATTCAAATAGAGTGGTCAAGGATGGAGTTGCTAGCACTCAAAAATGAGGTGGAGCTACCTGAAGCATGGAGTTGGAAAATTTAAAAAAAAGGGTGAAAAAAATAAAGATCAACTGTTATGGCCTTGCCTCCCACTTGTTTATAGGAGAGAGGAGGTGCAAATAACTCCATGACTTGGCTGGAATTAACATGGATTCTCATATCTTTTAGAAACTCACAACATGTAAACGCTTCTACTTTCCAAAACAAACTAAATCATGCATGGGAAGTTAAATTATTAACAGTGATTTCTTATGTCCAGCCCTGACTTCTCTTTTAATAACTTGACACCCATAAATTAACTCTACTTCCAAAACACAGCTTAGAACATGCAAAATTAACGACTAGACCTGGGCAGTAGATGAGGACGTGTTAACCCACCAAAAAACCTCCATATAAACAAACTTATTTCATTTCTGGCATTCATTTCTTGTTTCCTAGTAATTATCTATTATCTACTGATTCTGTCAGATGAACAGCACTTCTATTTCAGCTGTGCATTCCTCAAGCCTTGTCTGTACGATAGCTACTTGAGGTGGAGTAGACAAAGCCGATGATGTTTTCCTTGTTTTGTCTAACACTACTTTTCTTGCTTGATATCTCAATAGCTAGCACTGCAATATTACAAAATGGCTTAATCTTGATAGGTCCCATGATTGATAGCTCATATCTGTCTCTGCTGTGTAACACAAGCACCATATATTGAACAATTTGAAAACTCGTATTTGGATATCTGCATATACATACATTAGCCACTTTCTTTAAATTTGTGCTTTACTTATTCAGGCTGATATTCTTGCACAATTCAAGCCTAAAATCAACACTGCAGTTTTGGTGTCCAACCTTAGTCAAGTTGAGAGCACAACGGCAGACTGTTTGAAGCTTTTCAATACCACACGCCACATCATCTTGTACTATGAGGATATCATCAGCAACCAAAATGTAATGAAAGAAATGTCCCTACAGAAGATGCATTTTCTTCTTCATCTTCTTTTAATTGACCTTGAGATTTTTTTCCCCTCAGGTATTACAACAAGTGCAAGAATTTCTTAGACTTCCTGTCAGAAATCTAAAGAGTAGACAAGTAAAAATACACAGACGTCCTCCTTCAGAGCAAATTCTCAACTGGGATGATGTATACAAGTCTCTGAATGGAACAAAGTATGAGCATTTTCTTCACCAAAGGGATTATGTTACTTAATTGTCTGATAATGATGTTCCATTCCTTCATTCTGTAGAATGTCATGTTACAACTACACTTCATCATAGATCTAAATGATTATACATCAAATTTTGCAACCTGATACATGAACTCTCAATTGTCATTACTTGGTTGTTAAGACCACTATATATTTAAGTGCCACCACCATCTCCGCATTATCACTAGTATCTAACATTTCTCCATCATCGAGTCTTCTATATATCAAAACCAGTCGTGAGCACCGTGCAAAGCACGACATATCATTTTTTTTCCTGCCACATTAATCCAGATTTTTAAATGCCACGGTAATTTTTTAAATTGCTACAGTTTCCCCGCCTCAGCTACAGTTTTAAAATGCTGCAGTATTCCCGTGTGCTACAACAATATTTTTTCCAAAAATGGCGCAGGATCCAGTTTCCTCTTTGCTACAGTACTATTACTGTAGCATGAATTGTGAATCTTTGGTTCTCCCATTTGTATAGAGGAGTAGATACACCAGATCTTACAAACTTTAACTACTAGTTGCGAAGCTGATGTGATCCAAAAGTTTATGTTGGTAGGAAAATGAAAACCCACATTATTGCCTCTGCATTTAAGCTTGTGTTAGCAAGGGGAAATCTTCCAGATATTTCTAGTCTAAGAGCTTAAAAGGAGACATAGGAAATTGCATTAACTCGTAATGTATGGACAAAGCTAAGAGTCAAAAGGTAAACAAAAATTTCAGCTTTCTACTCTAATACCAAAATGAACTAATAGCTTTTAATAGATTTGTAAGGACTCCTGTTCTTTGTGGGGTTGAAAAATGCGAATTAAACTTGCATCATTGTAATATACAAAGAACTTGTCAACTTGGTGACTTTTTCGCCCCAATTTTCTGCTCTAATACCAAAATGAACTAATAGCTTCAGAAATTATTAGTTTTTTCTTACCCTTGTTTTCTAAGGTTTATGGACATTTCCCCAATAACTTTGCAGTCATGTTTTTAAACCCTTGATCACTTGATGGTACTTTTTTTTATAGTTTCCATATTTAGCAAAGTTTGGATATTCCAATACTACCCTTATGGTTTCATTATCAGAATGAATAAAACGTATAAAAATGTATCAGGTTCACAACAAAAAGTTCTTTTTTCCCCCTTTTCCTCTTTCTGCATATAATATCTATCTCGAGCATGTATCTTCTCTTGCTTCTCCTTTGTCTTCCTCTTCCCCTACCTCCTCCTCATCCTCCGCTTTCTCCTACACTTCCTACCTCTATTTTCTTCCAGTCCTGGATAAGAACAGTAGTAAGCAAAGGTGAATACTATGACTACTGTCTCTTCAGTGAAAATATTATGTTATCTAATTTTGTTTGAAACACGAAAAACATGCAATGACTAGACAATATGACAAATGTAATATAAACAATATATCAAGCTATACTCAGAATTAGTGAGGATATAAAGATGTTTCGACTTTGAATATTTTCAAAATAAGTTTTCTGATACTGATTTTATTAGATTCTTGTGCTTGTGGTCAATGTTAATCCTCGCCTTATCTAAAGTTTCCTTAGCTCTCTTGAGATTTTTCAGCTTGTGGTCAATGCCAATTGTAGGTCTCTCTCTCCACCCTCCTCTCATGTCACTATCTCATTCTCATTTATGTTTTTACGTTTTTCCGCTTTTCTCCTGCTTAATTTTTTTCTACTTCAATTAAGCATAAATTTGGGTTAATGCTGACACAATTAGCATTTAACACTGATATCAATTGTCGGCGAACAATCGATTATGATACCAGTTGTTGAGAATTGGTGCACACGATGCAGAAGTTTCAACCAAATCTCTTAACTAGATCTCGTTTGTCTTATTAGGCAATCAGTCACCTCAGCAGAAGGGGGACACCGATAAAAAACAATGTTCAAACAAAGTGAAGAAACTAATATACCGCAAAATAGTAAACATGATGCAAAAACATGAGGGTTTATATGGTTCAACGATCGTCTATGCCACGAGAAGAGATTTGAGTCTTTGTTCCTAGAGATTACAAAGATTATGCCATTCTTGTGTTCTCAAGTAATCCACGAGAAGTCTTTCAATCTCACCTAAAGATCCTCACAAATCCTAGATTTCTCTCCTTTGTTTCTTCTCTAGAATTCCTTTACAATATGCAGCTCTTTTTGGCTCTGCTCAAACTGCATACTTGGAAGACTCGTACTTATAGGGTTATACCCGAGTGCAAAACAAACAAGAATCCTATTCTAAACAAATTTCCTAAAATATGCAATCAGCGCTCACTAGACGCCTATCACACCACTAAGGTCATTGTTCTAAAACACTACATATGCGGCTACATACTTGGCCGCATATGCGGAATCGGCCCATTTCCGCTTGGAAATGGGCTGATTCGTTGAAATATGCGGTTAGCCGCATAATGGTGATGGAAATGCATACTCGTCCGCATAAAAAGATTATGTGAGGTGAGTTTTAGTTAGGGTTTGAGTGGGTTTCGGGTTCAAAAATCTGAACCGCAAGTTTTTAAACCTATTTTTTTAAATCCTAAACCCGACTAGGGTTTCTTTCCCCAAATTGCTGGCCTCCCTCATCTCTCTAACTCTTTGTCTCCTACTCGCCCCTACCTTCTCTGTCTTCATCTCTTGGCGGTGGCGACAGCAACTTCAAAAGCGGTGACAATGGCGACGGCAACAACAACTGTAGCAACAACAGGTGGCATTGACTGTAGAAGCAGGATGAATATATGTTAAAAAATTGCTAGCCTCCCCCATTTCTCTATCTCACATGTTTATTTGCATTTTTCTTAGTATGTCTTCTATCTTTTATGAATTATATACATTTTTATGTATGAAAAATAATAAATATATCTTAAAAATTCAAAAACGCATAATTCTGCATAATCCGATTAATCAGCGCATAATCCGATTAATCGTGAGTTGCTCTCGAACTGCATAGATAATAAAACCGTGTTTTTGAACATTGACTAAGGTGATGCTTTAGAATTCTAGAGCATATTAGGCACCTATCAGCATCGTCTAAGACTATGCTATTAACAACGAGACAGAGCTAGACGCTTGAGGAACCATCTATCAACTGGCAAGGTTTTAAATGTCGGATGTCGGGTTTATGTCGGGCGGCTGGAATCCATGTCGGATAGCAGAAATCAGGGATATATCGGGGAACATGGACTAAATATCGGATTGCTATATCGGGTGATGTTCATATGTATAATATCATATCCTAAATATAATGTATAATATCATATCCTAAATATAATTTAAGCATTCTTAAATTCAATATAAGCATACTTTATAAATTCTAGAGGTGACGCCGACGATGGGTGGATTCCGACGTCATAGGGAGACAGAGCCTGCGACAGGATGTCACAGGGAGGCAGGATTGAGGCTCTTCTTCTTCTGTTCGGGGTCCTTCGGATGAGTCACCGGCCACCCACTTTCTTTTATCCTGACGACGTGATACCTTGCCGTCATCTGGTTCGATTGAGGTTCGGATTTTGGGACGCAACAGGT